TTGCCGACGAATCGCGCCCGGGGGCTGGGGCTCTCGCCGGGGTTCCACGGGTCGGTCTGCGTGCCGCTGTGGAACCTGGCCACGCCGCCCTCGCCCGGCTCCGCTGGCGCGCGCCTGCGGCGCAGGCTCGCGCGCCCCGGGGACGGCTCGCTTGTCACGCCGTGGAACCGGTCGTAGCCGGCGGACGGCGGCCGGGAGAACCTGCGCAGGCCCGAGATGGAGCCGCGCATGCTCATGGAGGGGCTCCCGTCGAACGCACTGCCGCCGCCCGAGACTGGGCGCGAGCCGAAGAAGGAGCTCCCGCTCCGGTACATCAGCCGCTCCTCCGCGGACAGGTCCGACATCAGCTCGGGCATGCTGCCGCGGAGCTGCGCAGAGGCAAGTGCCTGGCCCGGCGCGGGCTGCGCCCTGGGGTGCTGCGACGTGGGCTCGGCCTCGGGCTCGCTCTGCCGCTCCTTGCGGCCCGCCGCGGCGCTCCCCTGCAGCTCCTGCGCCTGCTGGCGGCGCGCACAAGGGGGGGGAGGGAGGGGAAGGGCTTCTTAGAAGGATGGCTGCTTCTCAGAAGGCGCCGGCCTTACATGTATAGATAAGGCCCGCGCCCTCTACGAAGCAGGGGGGCTTCTAAGAAGCCCTCCCCCCTCCCCCCTCCCCATAGATCCGATGTCGTGATTTCTTCAGCACGGGATCCCCGGAAGTCTCGACCCACTCCCCAAGACCGGTTTTTCATCCTGCGTTGTTTTCTGGCAGTCCCGGGGCCCGGCGAGGGCCGCCAGAGGCCGAAAATTTAGAAAAACCTCCGTCTTGATTTGTCAATGCGCTGGTCTGCGCGTGGCCGAGCCCCCAGACCCCCGACGTCGTGACTTTTTCGCAGCGTCGACCGCCAACGGTCTGGACCCCTTCCCCGGGACCGGTTTTGCATCCTGAGTCGTTTCTTGACGGTCCCGAGGCCCAGGAAGGGCCCCCCAGAGGCCGAAAAATAGCGAAAAACCTCCCGTCGTGATTTTTTCAATGCGTTGGATCTCTGGGTCTGCGCGTGGCGGGCTTGTTTTCCACCACCACCACCACCAGAAGTAGGATGGGGAGGGGGTGGTCCTCCTCCTCCTCCTCCTCCTCCTCCTCCTCCTCCTCCTCCTCCTCCTCCTCCCCCTCCCCCTGCGCATGGCTGAGCCTGCGCCTGCAGGGGCGCCGTGCCCAGCGCCTGCTGCGCAGCGGCCCGGCCCCGCGGCCCCCCGGGCGACGAGCCCGCAGGCGACGAGCCGCCCCGCGCGCCCTCGGCGGCGCCCGCCGCGTGCCCGTGCGCCGCGTGCGCCGCGGCGCCCTGCGGGGCCCCGCTCGACTGGAGGGGCAGGGCAACCGCCACGGGCGCCACCGGAGGAGGAGGAGGAGGAGGAGGAGGGGATGGAGGAGGTGAAGAGAGGAGGACCGCCGCCGCGGGGCGGCCGCCAGGGCTCCGCTCGCCGTCGCCGGGGCGCGCGCCTCGCTTCGCCTTGGGCGCGGGCGAGGGTCGCCCCCGCGAGCGCGAGGCCGAGCCGTCGGGGGGTGTGTCGCGCCAGTCGTAGCTGTCGGGGGCGATGGGCAGCAGCGTGCCCGCGGCCTCGGCCGCCTGGCTTAAGTCGGGCATGTTCCCCCTACAGGCGGATTTGGGGCGAAACCAACAGTTACCAACAACAAATGATCAAACACATGATCACAAAATGATCAAAACATAGAAAAATCCTTCAACCTAGTAGAAAAATCGTCCCCAGACTATTCTTCGACTACTTGTTTAATATTCCTCGTGTAGGGGGGGCAAGCCCGACTTGACGCCTGGCCCATCTTCTTCATCATCGCGTCCGCCTTCTGCTCCTTGACGGTCCTCGAGACGGCGACGACGGCGCTCACCTGCTTCAGGACCTTGTGCATGACCTGCGACTGCCTCATCAGGGCCTCGGTCGCGAGCTCCAGGGCTCTCTTGCTGCTCGCGATGTCGCTGGTGGCGCCGTCCTGACCCTTCTTCTCGAGCTTCTTCAGCATGTTCTCGAGCTCTTTGATCCGCATGTGGAGTTTCTGCTCCTCTTCCGTCATGCCTGCGAAGGCTGCAGCCGTGGTCGGCGACATCTGCCCACTCGCGAGCTCGTCGTCCGAGACGTCGCCCGCCCTGGGGCTTGGGCTGAGCCTTCCGTTTCCTCGGCCCGGGCTTGGTCTTGGGCTTGGGCTCTGGCTCCTGCTGCGGTCTCGTGCTGGCGACGCGGCCTGGTCGTCGTTGCCTTCCCTGTCGTCGCCTTCTTGCTGCATCTCAAGCTGCCCCCTGCTCCTGCGGTGCTCCGCGGCCCGGGGCGACTTCTCGTGATCCTTAGTCGCAGCTGCCGCCCCGTGCGCTCTGACGTGATGCTTCGATGCGTTGCGTCGTGATCCGAGCTGGCCGCTCAGCGACAGGACCTCACCCTTCAGCTCGGCAATCTCGTCGTTGGCATCCTTGAGCAGGCCCTTCAGGGATGCCAGCTGGGCCTCTAGATTTGCCATCTCGGGGGTCACATCGTCGGGGCGCAAACCAAAAGGCAGTCTGCCGTTCTGCCACTTGGAGGGATCCAGCGTCAGGATCCGGCGAACCTTCTCGTTAACGAGGTCGACCATCAGCTCCTGCTGGTCCTTGTCGAACGACAAGATGGGCTCGAAGATCTCGTGGTCCATCTCCTCCAGCTGGGCCGGCACCACGCTGTACCTGATGCACTCGTCGTCCTCCAGCCTGGGCATGGGCTCGAAGCCCCCCCCTGGCGCGGCCAGCAGCGGTGGTGGCGCCTGCAGGCCTCTGCCGCTCCCGACGAAGCTCCCAGTGGTGTCCGCCGCTGCCATCAGGCCGCCGGGCCCCCCGCCGGAGCTCTCCAGCAGGTTGGGCACCGTCGGGCGCCGGAGCCCGCCCGCGTCGCCCTCGCCCGTGTTGGCGCGGCTGACGCGGCCACCGGGGGAGAAGCTGTGGCCCGTGCTGCCGGCGCCCGCGATGCCGACGGAGCCCATCGCAGTCCTCGTCGTCTTCACGGACGACGCGGAGGACCCGGCCGGCTTCACGGACGACCGGTGCCTGGTCATCGCGGGGCCCATGAGAGAAGACTTCTCCAGCTCCTGGGCGTGGGCCTGCAGCTCGGAGAAGCGCTTCTCGATCTTCCGGATGTGGATGTGCAGCTGCGCAGACTCCCTCAGGGACTGCGCCTGCAGGTGCGCCACGCGCCTCTGGAGCTCCTCGTTCCTCTTGGTGAGGGTGCCGTTGGGGTCGTAGTTCCAGCGCGCGGAGAACTTGACGCAGACCTGCCACAGGCTCTCGGCGACGGCCGCCCCGTCCAGGGAGCCCTCCATGGCCAGCAGGCCGTGCCGGCACTCCTCGACGATCTCCCTCGACGCCGGGTCGTTCGTCATCCACGCGGGGAGGCTCAAGGCGCCGGCGGGCGCGCCCTGCTTCGCCGCCGCGGGGGCGGCGCCGGCCGCCCCGGCGGGCCTGGCCCCGCCGGGCGAGCTCGGAGCGAGGCTCCCCGTGGCGAGGAACCGCACGGTGGTCTCCCGGAACTTCTTCGCGTCGTCGGGCGAGGGCGCCGCGGCGCCCCCCTGGCAGCGTCCGCCGATGTGGCGTTTCTGCGAGGCGCGGCCCACGGAGGTCCCGGACCCCTCCCCTCTGTGGGGCCACAAGACTTGCGCCCTGGGTCCGCATATGCGGTGGTCCTAGATGTGGGCCCGCCAGCAGGCCCCGGGGGCCAACCTCGAGGGCAAGCGCCGGGATGAAAGGCCTCCCAGATGGGGTCGGAGTAGATGGGGTCGGAGGATCTCGCCGCATCGCCGATGCATCGGCTATGCATCGGCGATGCATCGTCGATGCATCGGCGATGTTGGCGATGCAGCGGCGACGCCCGCGTGGAGAAGGCCGGGCTCCACATCTGGCCCGCGATCGGCGACGCACCGGCGATGCGGTGCGATCCCCCGAACCCCGTCCACTCGAAGCCCCCTCTGGGTTGAGCAGGGGCCGACCGTCTCGGCATTCGTATAGTCCTACCACGACATGTTCTTAGAACCCAAAGATGTTCTTATAACAAAACAGTGTTCTTAAAACATTAACCCGACGTGTCAAAACAGGACGCTCCCAGCCAGACATGTTCTAAGAACGTCTCGTGGGAACCAAAATCGGCTCTCAGAACAATGTTTGGCAGGGCTACAGGCGAGCCAGGACGCTTCGCCACTGCTTGAGTGGTGGTGTGGGGGGGGGACCTCGACCCGAAAGAGCGGCGATGCCTCGCCAGCAGGTCGGCGGCAGGCCCCCAGCAGGCGAAGCCGCTCCCCCTCCTCCTCCTCCTCCTCCTCCTCCTCCTCCTCGTCCTCCTCCTCCTCCTCCTCTTCCTCCTCCTCCTCCTCCTCGTCCTCCTCCTCCTCCTCCTCCTCCTCTTCCTCCTCCCCCTCCTCCTCCTCCTCCTCCTCCTCCTCCTGCTCCTCCTCCTCCTCCTCCTCCTCAAACAAATCACATCGTCGGAGACTTCGGGCCTGTGCCGCGGCGGGCGCCCACTCCGCCGCCAGGGCGCCGCCGCCCGCCGCCGAGTCGGCCTCGGCGGCCACTGCGCCGCCGGCCCGCGGCGAGGCTCTCGCCGCCCGGGGCGGCGGCGGCGGCGGCGGCGGCGGCGGCGGCGGCGGCGCGGCCGCCAGCGGCGCCGCCAGCGCCGCGTCCAGCGACAGCGTGGCGCGGGACGTCGCCCGCGCCAGCAGCGGCTCGGGCTCGGGGGGCCCGAGGGCGGTGGGCGGCCTCTCCGGGAGGGGCCCGCCCGCGGCGATGTCGCTGATGGCGGCGAGGCCCGCGCCGCCCGCGGCCTCCTTCATGACGGCGCGCAGCGTCTTGACTTCTTCCTCGCGCTCCTGTCCGTGGAGGCCCGCCCGGGCAACCCCCTCCTCGCTCCTCGCTCCTCGCTCCTCGGTCCTCTTCCTCCTCCTCCTCCTCCTCCTCCTCCTCCTCCTCCTCCTCCTCTCCTCCTCCTCCCTCCTACTCCTCTCCTACTCTCTTGCCTCCTCCTCCTCCTCCTACTCCTCTGCTCGGCGTCCTCGGCTGAAGGCGTTGCAGAAGGGTGCTGGACGTTGGCGCTCGGCGCGCCTTTGGACTACGGGTGCGCTGCCGTCGGTCGGCCACGGAGCGGCGGTCAGCGGCATCAACGACGGCGAGCTGAAGCAGATGCGCAGTGTTGCTGGCAGTTTCTGTGGCTTCAGTGGCAGCGGCTCTCTTACTCTGTACCTGGCGGTTCAGAAGCAGCGCAATTTCGACCCGATCTACCATGCCACCTGCAGCCTGTTGCAGCAGTACTCGGTCTGGGTGTGGGCAGCGTGCGGCTCTCTCGCCAGGTTGCAGAGGGCCTGGATGGCGCTGAAGGACCAGTTCGAGGCTGCTCGCGGCGCGGTCACTTGGGCCAGCGCTCGAGGTCCGATATCGGCCCTCTGGCTGACTCTGCGCAGGGTCGGGTGGGACATGGCCAGTGCCACGGTCCTCGTGGACGACACGGGCGTTGGCATCGACTTGCTCAGGGTCAGTCCCAGCGAAATGCTGCACTACATGTACCTGAGCCTCGAGCGCTGGCAAAGCCATCGTATTTTGGACCACCTGCCTGGTGCCCCTGCTCGGCAGCCTGACGGTAGCCGTCGGCATATCTGGATGCGAGCCCTCCGTCGTGGTCATCTGCAGAGGCTTTCTAGCGGGTTGCGAGGTGCGTTGGCCAAGCTCCAGTCAGATGGCATGTGGACGCCCGCTCGTCGGTGCGAGGCGGGTTACACGGACAATGCTGTATGTGTTTTCTGCGGTCACTCGCCTGCGGACCTCGAGCACGAGATGTTCTTCTGCTCGGTGCACGAGGCGCAGGAGGGCGAGGAGCAGGGCCCATACCCTGACGACGTGCTGCAGGTCAGGAAAGACATCTGGGAGCAGGGCCAGACGGGTGCTGGCGCCGAGTGGGACCTCGCCACGGTCGACCTGCTCTACGCGCTGCCGATGCGCCCTGAGTTTCGGCCTCCTGAGCCCAGCCTGCTGCCTGTCAAAGAGTGGGGGGCCCGCGATGCCCCGTGGCCGTCCAAAGTTTTCGGAGACGGGTCTTGTTTCGATCGTGATTTCCCTGAGGCCAGGCGGTGTGGTTGGGCGGTGGTGGCCCTCACGCCGAATCTTTTGCCTTTCGAGGCTATCTTTGGAGGCCTCGGAGGCCCTATTCAGACCGTGCCCAGGGCCGAAAGGTTTGCCGCTCTCCGAGGCCTCGAATTGGCGTCCAGGCCGTCTGTGTTTGTCACGGATCACTTAGCTCTGGCGCAAGAAGGGGAGTTGTGGTTTGGCAGGCACGCTCGACCTACAGCACCTCATGCTAGCGTCTGGAGGCAACTGCACGCTCTGTACGAAAGTGATTTGGATCGTTTGCCCCGGTTTTCCTGGACTCGTGCTCACAGGTCTGTGGATGAGGGCATTGCGTCGTGCTGTTCCTCGGGCGAACCCTTGGAGAATTTGTTCGGTAATATGTGGGCCGATTGTTTCGCGAAGATGGCCGCGCTTGAGCTGTCGGGCTCATCCTCGGTCATCCGTGCACATAAGTTTGAGATGGAGCAGGCCAAGCAGCGGATGCGTTGTCTGGCGTTCGCTGCCCATAGAGTGGCCTCTTTGGCGTCGCCCGTCGTCTATCGGCCGCTACCGCCCGCCCCTAGAGCCCCACGTCGACGAAAGCCGACCACCCACGCGTTTGCCCTGTTTCCTGCGGGCGCTATTGGGTGCAAGGCTTGTTGGCGCCAGGCCTCGACCCCGTCTTCTTTGAAATCCCTCGCCTCCCGCTCGTGTGATCCCCAGGTTGTCGGCCCTGGACACCTGATCCAGGTTTGTGATCGAGTGCTGATTTGCACGCGCTGTGGGGCCCACACAGTGCGACCGCAGAGGCTCTCAGTGGGCCTCACGCGAGCCTGCCTTGTCAAGGATGAGGGAGTTCGGTCGGGAGCGGGGGTGTGTGGGACGCGGGGGGAGAGAGCCCAGAGAATGTTGCAACAGGCCCAGCGTGGCCGCCACCCCAAGACGGGAGAGGCGATCGGCCCGCTGCTCCTAGCCCCGATTGCCCCTGAGGCCGCGTTGCGCTCGCTGGCTAACGTCGGGACGGGGGTGGCGGACGGGGGGGACGGTGTCGGTCGTGGTGTCGAGGAGGAGGAGCGGCGGAGCACGGCGCCGCAGGCCTCTGCCGAGGGGCAGCGCAGGCCCGCGCCCACGGCTCCCCCCTCCCCCTCGGCCTCTGCGCCCCAGCAACAGCCCGAGTCTGGGGACTCGGACTAGCTGTGGCCCCACCTCGGGCGCGTGCCGGCGCCCTTTCCTTTCGCTCCGAGGCCCAGTCGGGATTCCCCTCTGCGCCCTCGGCCATTGCCCATTGCTCCTCCTCCTCCTCTCCTCCTCTCCTCCTCCTCCTCCCCCTCCTCCTCCTCCTCCTCCTCTCTCCTCCTCCTCCTCCTCCTCCTCTCCTCCTATCCTCTTTTCCTTATTAGAATATACTCCTACTCCCCCCTCAGGCCGGCAGATAGGGGCCGCATCCGGGTGGTCCCATCCTAACCTGTAAAAAACAATACAAAATCAACATTTTTCTTATTTTTTCATCTCGACATGGACGTCCTGTCGTCCACGGCGATAATCCATTGCAAAAAATACCACAAAGAGCACACGCGCGCGTTCATGTCAGAATCCTACCGAACACCGTGTGTTTGCAAGCATTTCAACATAAAAACATCAAAAACCCAATGCTTTTTCACAAAAATTGTACAAATTTCCCGCCCAGGCTCTCTTGCTGAAATCATAGGAAAACCATAGGAATCCAGCGATTTCAATCGCGCGGTACACTCGCGATGCTCTGTCAACCCAGGCCGCGAATCCTGTGCAAAAAATACCACAAAGAGCACACTCGCGCGTTCATGTCAGAATCCTACCGAACACCGTGTGTTTGCAAGCATTTCAACATAAAAACATCAAAAACCCAATGCTTTTTCACAAAAATGCTTTGGGGTGTCCTGTCAGACCGTCGGGCTTCCTCCGGCCACCTCTGGCTTCCTGCGGTGTACCGGGCCATTCTCGACTCGTCTGGCAATGCGTGCGCGGCATTCAACACGCGCTCGCCAGTTCCCGTCGGCAACCGCCATCGCGGCCGCATCAGCTGTACCAAACCGGCTGGCCGGTGTGACTTCGGCCCCCAGTTGTGCCAGCTTTGCTTCTTATGTTGTGGGAGGGCGGGTGGGACTGGGCATGCCATGCTTGACTCGCTCGAGCTGGCTAGCTTGACTCCTACTCTCCTACTCCTACTCCTTATTCCTTATTAGAATATACTCCTACTCCCCCCTCAGGCCGGCAGATAGGGGCCGCATCCGGGTGGTCCCATCCTAACCTGTAAAAAACAATACAAAATCAACATTTTTCTTATTTTTTCCTCTCGACATGGACGTCCTGTCGTCCACGGCGATAATCCATTGCAAAAAATACCACAAAGAGCACACGCGCGCGTTCATGTCAGAATCCTACCGAACACCGTGTGTTTGCAAGCATTTCAACATAAAAACATCAAAAACCCAATGTTTTTTTCACAAAAATTGTACAAATTTCCCGCCCGGGCTCTCTTGCTGAAATCATAGGAAAACCATCGGAATCTTAAGAATTCGGTCAAATCCAGCGATTTCACGTCATCGCGCGGTGCACTCGCGATGCTCTGTCATGCACCCAGGCCGCGAATCCTGTGCAAAAAATACCACAAAGAGCACACTCGCGCGTTCATGTCAGAATCCTACCGAACACCGTGTGTTTGCAAGCATTTCAACATAAAAACATCAAAAACCCAATGCTTTTTCACAAAAATGCTTTGGGGTGTCCTGTCAGACCGTCGGGCTTCCTCCGGCCACCTCTGGCTTCCTGCGGTGTACCGGGCCATTCTCGACTCGTCTGGCAATGCGTGCGCGGCATTCAACACGCGCTCGCCAGTTCCCGTCGGCAACCGCCATCGCGGCCGCATCAGCTGTACCAAACCGGCTGGCCGGTGTGACTTCGGCCCCCAGTTGTGCCAGCTTTGCTTCTTATGTTTTGGGAGGGCGGGTGGGACTGGGCATGCCATGCTTGACTCGCTCGAGCTGGCTAGCTTGACTCCTACTCCTACTCCTCCTCCTACTCCTTTGCCTCCTCCTCCTCCTCGCCGCGTCGGGACAAAAGTGAAAACGAGCGGAGCGGTGCTTGTTGTTTCCCGCCTCTGGGGGCCCTCAACGGGCCCCGGGACCGTCAGAACACGACTCGAGTGAAAAGCAGGTTCTGGGGAAAAGGTCGAGTCTTCTGGGGGTCCACACTGTGGACACATCACGCCGTCGGGGGTCTGGCGAGGGAGGGGTGGCAGACCACCGCCACCACCACCGCCCAGGACCCTCTGCAAAACCCTTGCGGTCTCGGGCCCCGGCCCTGGTGCCGGGAAGTCGCGTGCATCGGCGCCTCGGCCCCAACGACGGGCCGCATGCATGCCCGGCCGTGGTGGTGTGCCCCATTCCTCCTCCCGGCTCCCTCAGCTGTATCTCGTAGGACTGCAGCAGCACCTGTCGGAGATGCGCAACAGATGCTTGAGACAACGGCGGGTCCCCCGCCAAGCTCGGCTCTGCCCCCGGACCATCCCGACCCCTGTCTCGGGGCGGGCCCAGCCGTGGCGGCGCTCGACACGCCCCCAGGAGGCTCCCCAGAGAGACGAGCGAGGGCCGCCGCCGTTGCCTCCACGGCCCTCCCTCCGGACCTGGGCGTCGAAGAGCCGCCGGACGGCCTCCCTCTGGGAGTCGCCGTGGTCGACGATGTGGACCGTGCTCTCGTACTTCCCGTGCTTCTGCCGCGAGATGTCCTCGGGGGAGAGCAGAGGGGGCGGCGCAAGGAACAGGCCCGCGGAGGCCCTCCGCGCGGGCTTCTGGGAGCCGCGCGGGGCCCCTCCGCCCGAGGCGCCGCCCGGGGGGGGGGCGCCGGCGCAGATCGAAGAGATCTGCGCGG